GTTTTTCAACACTATCCTAAATTATTCGCTCATATTCGCGATGAGCATCGTGAAGAATCACCTTTTAGCATCCGATGTGAATTAAGTATGATGTGTGGATCTCGTTATTCATCTTATGATAGTTACCGACGCCATATTTATCGCTGTCATCGCTCTCTTCTCGATTCGCTTGACAACAATGATACTATGTCATCCGCTGATATTTCTGATAGTATCGAAGATTTATTTTCTGATCTTACATTTGATGATACATTACAATGTGCTGGTGATCCTGATTCATCTATTTATCCAGATGAAGAAATTGATGAATTAGATCGTTTATTTTCTTCGTTTGATTCTGTTTCATCTTCTTCTACGAATCAACAACTCAATTTTGATAAACTTGCCCAATTTTATACATATTTTCTCCTTGAACTTCGAGAACATCATCTTCTTCCGCAGAAGATCGTACAATTAATTTCATCTAACATCTGTAAACTATTTGACATGATTATCAAATTAATCAAAACAAAAGCACCATCAACAACATCACTTCTCTCGGTCACTGCTTATGAAAATGCTTTTGCGCACATCACTTCGATGATCAATTCCATTAGTAAAAATGAATATCAATTTTTGAAACGATGTAAGAAACACTTCAGTTATGAACCTCCAGTTGAAATTATATTAGATCAACCTAATGAACACGCGTATTATATTCCTTTGAAAAAAAGTTTATCTTATACACTTCAAGATGGTCAACTGTTACATGCCATTATTGATAATATCAATTCGTTATCAAATCGTGTTGCGCAAGATAAAGACCTAGTTTTATCTAATCGACAAGGTCATTTCGTAAAAACAAACCTTTATCGTCAAACAAATTCAAATGTCTTGCTATTGAAATTATATACAGATGGTATTTCCATTACAAATCCGATAGGTCCTCATAGAGACTCGCACAAGCTCACTTGTTTTTATTATCTATTAGATGATCTACCTGAAGTAATTCGTTCACAAGTTAATTCCATTGGTTTACATTGTATATGTTATACAAAACAATTCAATAATGATAACAGTAGAACGATCTTAACCAACGTCCTTGTGGAGGATATTAATAAACTTCAAAATGATGGCATCACAATTCCTTGTCTTTCGAGCAGAATTTATTTCGTTTTTTCTTCCGTTTGTGGTGATAACTTAGCATCGAATGAAGTTGGTGGCTTTCAGAAATCTTTCAGTTCAGGAAGTTTCTGTCGACATTGTTTCATTACTTATGAACAAAAACATATTCCATTAACTGACATATCGTTCGTACCTCGCACTCGTCTAAAGCACGATTTTATTCTTAATCAAGTTATACTTAACAACGGTCGTCAAATCATTCAAGGTGTCAAAGGTCCTAGTTGGTTTAAAGATCTTATCGGGTTTCATCCAACAGAATCACTACCACCAGATGTAATGCATGATTTTTCCGAAGGTAATACTCTATGCAAAAATAAGAACTTTTTTGTGAGATTTAAATAGGGAAATTCAATGTTTATTTTTTTTATTGAGGCGTATGTCCGCTTGTTATAAGTGTCTTATTGAAAGAAGCCATTCAACATCGTCTTCTGACTTATGCAGAAATTGAACAACGCACATCAAATTTCAAGTATGGCTTTTATGATTCATCCAACAAACCTCCTCCCATTAAAAAGCAACATCTAACACACTCGAATATTGTTGGATCTGCCAGTCACAAATTATGTTTGTTTCGGTTATTCCCAATAATATTCCATGATCTTATAGATGATCTTACTTTATTTCCTGTTTATATTATATTACGTGAGATTATCAGTTATATCTATGCCAATCCAATTAGAAAATCATGGCTACCGTATTTAGATGGATTATGCAAACAATTTTATTCTCTGATGATCGAATTTTTACCTGACTATGTAACTCCAAAAGTGCACTTCATCACTGAATATCCACGATCTATTGAAATGCATGGACTTCCTATATTAAATTCCTGTATCCGCTTCGAATCTAAACATCTGTATTTTAAGCAACTCGCCATTCGATCATTCAACTTCAAGAATCCTTTACTTACCCTTTCAAAACGTCATCAATTGCGCGATTGTCTATTGAATACATTACATTCGTCTTTTCCTTCTTCGTCAATAACAATTCGATCGTCTAAATCAATCGAATACTCTAAGCTCTCGCTTCCGCTGCGACGTTTATTAATCGATGATATTAAAGATACAGATTTAATATGTCAATGCGCATCTATCGATTATCATCATATTAATATCCGAACAAAATCTATAATGATTCATCATTTAATTCATACTGAAGAAGTTCCTGTATTTTGTGAAGTTCATTATATATTAAATATCGCCGACAAATTATTTGTTATTGCCGAAACATTAGATACTGTTTCCTTTAATGAGAAATTATGGGCTTACGAAATAGAATATACAGGAAAATTATGTATAATTAATATAGAGCATTGTCTTAAGATATATCCTCATTGTCTCGACATATATATTGTTGAACAAAAAAATTATATCAATGTTCTAACTCGTTTAACTGAACATTAAATTTTTTTCTCTGTTTTGCGCTGATCAAGAAGAAAGAAAACAATTTTTTAATTAGTTTGTCATATAGTAATGTATGTAGTTATTATGAAGCTAGTTTCTTTAAACTTAACT